GTTTGGGATGGAGTTCAGGGTCCCGAGCTTGTTTTAAGGAATGTGCCCTTGTAATTGAAGCTTTGAGGCCCTACCATGGAAGCCTTTATCAAGCATCAGCTGGTGTTATGCGTGTCAGAATATTTTCTTATTGTTCTAGCCTGTAGTGGGGTGCTCTATAGCGAGTACAACCCTTCTAGGGTTTGCTATTTGTATCCTCATTCTTGCTAGTTCAATCCTCTTTCTTTCTTTCATTCCTGCTTACTCATTTCTTCTAACTTTGACAATGCGGAGGTGTCTATACAAGTCGTGCAGCAAAATAACAAGGTCTTTGTATAACCTGGATTATCATATGCCTCGTCACGGTAAAGGTCGCTCAGTTGGTTATCGCGAACGGTTGTTGAAAGGGCCAAATCTGTTATGGATGGTCATTGACTACCACCGATGGTCACTCATTGCCCCACACAGTTATCAAGTCTCGCCGCTTGAAGAAAAATTCACATGAAAGTTGAAACTTTCCCCCCTTGAAGCTCAACCATTACGATTTCCGCCATCCTTTGTCGACATTCCACCTCCGCTACCACCTCCACCTGACTTCTGCTGCCCCTACTGACGTCCCTGCTTCGTCGAAAAGACGTAGTTTGCCTACGGAAGGAGCTCCGTGGGCCTCTCAAACTCCTGCATGAATTCGTCGTTGATGATATGGCTCGACAATGTGTCCTCATCGAGCGACTCACGAACGTCGGGCATCACCAGCATCTGCCTCATCATGCTGTAGCCTATCAGGAGACCCTTGACGACGTACATAATGTAGAACGCCGTCGAGTAGTCAACGCCGACCATCCGCAGGTCGCCTAGAATCCGCCGAGCATGTTTGCAGTATCCGGTCGTCGACTCCTGCTCTCCCATCCTGATGTTTGTCAACCGCTGCTCCAGTTGGCCGATGTACAAGCAGTAAACTTGTACGTGCGCATGATGAAGTGCCACGCTTGGTGGCTGGCGTCCACCCGAAGTCGGCACGGCTTCAGGGCAACTTGCACCATCCGCGAGCAGCACCTCGAGATAACCATGAAGGTCAGCAAGTGAGCGAGGGCAAATCTCCGACCATAGCTTGACGTCCTCATCGTCTGACGCCAACACGTCGCCGTCGACGGACTTCTTCAGCCCGGCAATTTCCAGGGGCGGCTCAATCGACTCCCACCACGTCAGGATGTCATGTCGACCTTCCAGCAACTTCGGTGTGGAAATTTTGTCCAACAAGAATTTGAAGTAGCCGTACACAACACAATTCTTCCGCCTCAACCAGCCGAGTAGTAGGTCGCCGACGTTGGCCCAACACCACTTCGCTGGGGAGAGCGACGTCGCCCACCGACGTCGCCTTGCGAGCTTCCTGCAGCTGCCATCGACCGCAGCCCTCGCGCATGTATCCCTCCGACACCGACGTCGGCAGACCTGATTATTCGACGAGTCACCTCGTGCCCTCGTTGCCGACTTGGTCACCGTCGTTGACCTGGATGTGAGAGTACGACGGCTTATGCTGGCTTTGCTAGCTTGCCTAGACTTTATTATGCTATGTTTAGCTTGGGTTTTATTTATCATGCATAGATATGCTTGATTTCCTAGGTTAGGTGCATTCCTATATTTTATTGTAGTTATAGCACCGAACCAGGTTACATGTACCAAACTCAAGCCTTTTCGGTTGCCACCGAATTGCTTTCTACTGAGTTCGGGAAGGTTCTGTTCGGGACGCTTCGCGACCCTCAGAACATTCGCGTAACACCTGGGCAACTGGCCTTGTGTCGAGACTATATATAGCCTCGTATTGTACCCAGATGGATCAATCAATTACAATTCTCTTTTCTGAGCTCGATCCTAGATCCTCACACCGGACGTCGACCCCGCCTTTGTTGTGTACGGGTAGGGGAGAGGCGGACGCGCCGTCCGCTTCAGGTCGGGGAGGTGCTCAGGCACTCACTGCGCGCGGGTGCTTATGAGGAGCACCTCCAAGGGAGCCTCACCAAACTCGCCAGCTGTGTGGCGACTCTGAACATCAGCCTCTCGTGCCTTCAAGGTCTCCTCTACGCCTTTGTCTTCTCCCAGGATGGGCACCATGGCCTATACGGGCTGCCGTCCTAATGACGACTTAGGTAAGTGGTGAATCGGCTACTAATCTAAAGGGGTGAGGTCTTCCACACTCACCGCACCATGCGGAGAGTCACTCTACACCAGGAGCTGGACTTTGGGGAAAGGTACAGGTGGTACAAGCGATCGTAACGTTTGCTTGTGTTCTCTCTACTCGCGCATTCATAGAGAAAGTTGGCAAGAGTCTCACTGCCAAACGTTGGAGACAATAATGATGGCAATTGGCAAGAAATGACTACATGAGAGACCTAGCTGCTTAGCAACTAGGCAGGTCTGTCAGAATTTATATGTAACTGCCTGTAGCTGTAGTTTAGTGAAGTTATTATAAACTGTTGGTGGTGCACCTTCTTTGCATGCTCTGTTTACTATATGTACCTTAGTGCTATAGTGAACAATCACCTTTTCCAATTCTCTCGACTCTCTCACCTTGGACAAACTTCCTCGATTCTCCTTGGGCCTAGGCTTCTAAGCCTAGGCCCTAGCTAAACCTAGTATCTAACTACGTTCGTATCTCAACATGGCATTAGAGCGACTTACGTCCTGGCCTGTGGGCCCGCCTTATGCTTCCGCTGCTGTTTTTCCGGTCGCGCGCCTCGGGCGCGTGGCGATTTTCGTCCTGTCCCACCCCCGGGTGGCGAGTGACATCTTCTCTGCCCGTCGTGCGCCCCGTGGCACGCGACGGTGCCCTGCCCTGCCCGACGGTGCTTAGAAGCCTAGGCCCTAGCTAAACCTAGTATCTAACTACGTTCGTATCTCAACAAGGTCGACCTCTAGTGCAACACAGAGGCAACTTGCAAGCGTAGCAAGTCGACGGCATGCCGACGCAACTGGGAGGCGGCTTGCCAACACTACAAGGCGTTAAATTGTCAGCGTTGCACCAGGGCGGCTTACCAGCTCTGCAGGTAGGTGGCTTGCCAGCGTCGAAGCCGCAAGTGACTATAGCACACGCGCGCGCCCACTTCACAGGTGCTGGTATGCGGTTGAGCACGTTTTGCCTCGTTCCGCGCATCACGCAGATGCCAAGTCGGCCACGTGTCGATAGTCGCACCAGACATACCACGTCGACCTTAGGATGCCACCACAAAGGTCGACTTCGCTATTGCCTTCAGGGGCGAAACTCGCCCACCTACCAAGTTTCGCAGTCGAGCAACTTCCGTCGAACAGGTCGACACTGCTCTGTCGAACAACACTTCTCAACGTACTCGTCGGCCAGCTTCTCTCGACGGGCTCGTCGACCACTACCGTATTCTCCCGGATAAAACACCCTAGGGTATTATGAAAACCACTGGGAAAAAATGGGGGGGGTCTCCTCAAAGGAAAATCCTACATAGTACTCGGGTCTTATTATATGGTATATTTTTTATCAAGTAGAAAAGATGTGAAACAAAATCAGGTGTCTGACTTCACTTCAAGATTGTTGACCAGTGCCGCAAAACCGAGTATACGAGGATAACGTGACCGCCCACTGGAATCTGCCACGTGGCATATTCGAGTGGGCAATTTTGGCACTTGATAGGGTGAAAACAAAGCCAATTGCGTGGCGAGGGTTAATGCAACCGCCGAGGCCAGAATCGCGCACGGTGGTGCGTTCTTACTGTACCAGTCACTTCTTGACTGGTTTGGTCACGTGTCTGTGCCTCATGTGAGAAGGTGATTTTCACCTATTGGGCCACTTGCAACGGAAGATTCGCCAGCGTGGCGACAGCGAGATTGTGGGAGGGGGGAAATCTTGGCAGATTTTAAGTGAAAGTACACGCGAAATTTCACCTAGGGAGCAATTCTCGCGATATCCTCCCGTAAGGAATCGGACTCGATAATAGCTATAATATGAATCTATAAGAAAAGGGGGGTGTTATAGAAAATCACCCCAAAAGGGGGGGTATAGTACAAACGGGGTCGGATATAACACCCACCCCGTATTAGCTACCCGGGGGTGTACAATTACGGGGGGGTGTTTTATCCGGGAGAATACGGTAACATCGACCATGTCCTGTCGAGCAGGGCCTGCTCGACCATTACTTCTGTTGACCAGCGAAGGCTTCGAGGACCATTTTTTCGAGCTCTCCTGGTTGACGGCACGATCGGCTACACCCAAGCGTGGGCGGGGCCTTTCTCTTCGACATCCCCCCCCTCCTCGCTGTCGTCGTCGCCGCCGTCCTCGCCCTCGCCCCCGCCCTTGCCTTCGCCATCGCCCACCCCCTCGCCCTCCCCCTCACCCTCCCCCTTGCCCTCCACCTCGTCCTCCCCCTCCATCGTGACCTCCCCTTCGCCCTTCGCCCCTGCCCTTTCCCCCACCTCCCCTTTCCCCCTCCCCTCGCCTTCGGCCCCTTGCTCGTTCAAACCCAGTGCTTAGTCCCACTGGGCAAGTCAGGTAGCCATATACTTGTGGGTGCTCTAACTAGGCCCAGTTTGCGACCCTGTTTTGATTCTGGGTTTGATGACACAGGAGCACATACTTGTGCTTCTCTTCGCCCCTCCCCTTTCCCCCACCTCCCCCTTCCCCTTCCCCTCGCCTTCGGCCCCCTGCTCGTTCAAACCCAGTGCTTAGTCCCACGGGGCAAATCAGGTAGCCATGTACGTGTGGGTACTCTAACTAGGCCCAGTATGCGACCCTGTTTTGAAATTCGGGTTCTGGGTTTGATAACACAGGAGCACATGCTTGTGCTTATAGTATAACCTCATCACATAAATATTAGAGATTTCTTTGTGGTTTATATCCTTTGTAATGCTGCTGCATATTTATAAACACATTGCTCTTTGCAGTTGTTGACTAAACGCAAAACTTGGACAGCAGACCAGCCTGGCACCTGCAATTTGATTCCAGTCACCCATTCTACGCAACCTTACAGTGCTACAGACCAACCCTTCGTCTTTACTCCCTATCCCTGCCTCTTCTTTTCCCCCCTCTCCTCCCACTGTCTGGCCAAGCAGAGATGGTGAGGCAGCAACGAGCAGAGGGAGTTGGGGAGGCAGCGGCAGAGGGGGAGGGAGAGGGAGGGCGGGGCAATGGCGAGAAATGCTGCAAGGAGAGTGAGGGAGAGGAGGAGGAGTGACATAGGGAGGCCAGCATAAGGGTAGAGAGCTTGGGCATGGGGCAGGAGGGGCAGGACCATTGTGAGTAGCCCAGTGTCTAGTCCTTCCCTGAAGAGGCATGGGAGAGTGAGAAGAAACACAAGGAGCAGGGAGGAAGGCAAAAGGGTAAATGCGTGTGGGGAGCTGGGTGATCCTGTGAGCAAGATGGGTGAATGTCTGAGAAGATGGATGAATTCAACTGCAAGAGGTGTGCGGTGCTGATGTTTATTTGGTGCAGGCAAAATTTGACATGTTACAACAGAACAGATGTGATACATATTCATGGCAGCGGCGGCGGCAGCAGCAGCACGCACTGCGCAGGTTATTGAAACGGATCAAAAAGCACTCACTGTGCAGCAAGGGTGCGGTAGTACGGGGAGACGACACCCGAGACCCCAATGGAGGAGCAGCGCAGCAGTGTGAGCCCGTTCTCTGCTGCCCTCACTGCATCCGTCTCGAATGTCACGTGGCCTATGGCGCCCCACGTCCAGCTGGGCTGCAGCAGAATGTCCACTCTGAGGGCGGTGAGAGTGGTGGTTGGCGTTGAAGGTTGTGAGTGTGGTTCAGTGTGAGTGGGGCCAGGGGAAAAAGTTTGACCAGCAACGGAGTGACTCCTCTGGCCTTTCCCACACTCATTGGAGTGAGTAAGTGAGTGAACTTACACACACGCACAGGCAAGCATCTCACTCGGTCCTGAGCCTCACATGCACCCTTGGCTCACCCTTGCCTCACCCTTGCCTCCTTGCCTGGCTAATCAGCGCAGGAAAGTGCAGGTCAAAGAAGAATGGCCAAGGACAACCCTTTCCCCCTCCCCCCTCCGCACGTCACACACACATTTACACAGACTCACGCACGCACGCAACTCACCCTTGCCTGCCCGCCTGGCTGATGAGAGCAGGGAACTGCAGGTCGAAGCAGATGGCGACAGACAGCCTCCCCAGAGGCGTGTCCACCACGGGGAGAGTGCCATCGCCCGGCAGCACATTGCCTTCCACGGAGGGCACGGGGTGGGTCTTGTTGTATCGGAGAATGGGGGTGCCGCTGGGGGCGATGAGGGTGAATGAGTTGGTGAACTGCGTCGGGGAGATGAGCTGGGGGGGGAGGGACAAAGACAAAGGCGGACGGGGGGGGGCAGCAGAAGAAGGATTTTGCGGTGGGGGTTGCGGTTGTGAGGGAAGGAAGGCGCTGGTTGGCTTGGCTATGAGTCTCTGGCCGGCAACAAGGGTAAGTGTCCACCATGGGCAGGCAGGGTGCCATGGCCCGGCTGCACGTTGCCTTCCACGGAGGGCACGGGGTGCGACTTGTTGTACGGTAGAATGGGGATGCCGCTGGGGCCAAGGAGCGTTGAACGAGTTGGTGAATTGCGTCGGGGAGATGAGCTGGGGGAAGGGAGGGAGGGGGGATTGGGGTGGCAGATAGGAGGGAGGGAATGCGTTGCTTTGCCCTGGCCGGGGACAGGTGTGCATGTGTAGCAACCAACACGTCTTGTCGTGGGCAGTCATGGCAGTCAGGGCAGCCAGGGCAGTCAGGGCAGTCAGGACAGTCAAGAGCAGCTTGAGCAGCACACACCTTCATATAAGACGCGCCAATGAACGGCGCAAGAGCTGCCGGATCGGCACCGGCAGCAGGACCAGCAGCAACGGCAGTGCGGTTGGTGCTGGCAGCGGTGGCAATAGCAGCGAGGTCAGCCAGGAGGGTGGTCTCCTCATGGGCGTGCAACAGAATCACAGCCGCCTCTGACCACAGAATCAAGGTGTCGCCTGCTCTCGCCCTCTGCTGCGTCTGCTGCACCATCCGTGCTATGCCTGCCACCCGCCATGCCTCCCACTCCTCCCATGTCTCCCCTGCTGCTGTTGCTGCTGCTGCTGGTGTTGATTCTGCTGTTTCTGCTGCTGCTTCTCGTCCTTCTATGGCTCCTGCTGCTGACGACACTTCCCCTTCCGCATCTCCCTCCCCCACTCCCCTCAGCTTCCCACCTACTCCCCCCTCTTCCCCCTGCATTAGCTGCCTAGCCCCTGCTGCTTCAGCAGAAGCAGCATGTTGAGCAGATTGAGAGAGCGAGGAGGGAGGCTGGGGAGGAATGTTGTTGGTGGCAGCTTGCGAGAGGATGCAGGAGACAGGGACGGAAGGGACCATGGTGTCTGCGAGTGGCTTTTGGAAGAAACTGCAAGGGGAGAGGGTTAGGGGGTTGGGGAGAGGGAGAGGGAGAGGGAGAGAGAGAGGGAGAAGGAGAGGGAGAGGGAGAGGAGGGGAAGAAAGTGCAGGGAAAGTGGCGTTCAGTGGTGGGAGATGGGAGTTAAAGTGGCTGGCGGAGGAGGGAGAGTGGAGCGAAGAGGGGAGGGTAGTGGGGCTGGGGGGAGAGGCAAGACAGAGTTTTTTAGGGGGGAAAGAAAAGGAGGGAGGGGAGGTGCAGCAACCCCAGTGGGAGATTCAAACGCAGTAGTGCAAGAACTGATACTAGTCCAACTGGTTGGGAAGAAGCTCATCGGGGGTTAGTTCGGTAAAGTTCAGGAGATGAAGGAAATTGCCAAGGAAACGGAGTGGATAGCTGAAAGCAACGCAACAGCATGAGCAGTGCAGCGTGCACGGTTGTATTTTGAGGCGCCTCAAAATACACCTCAGTGCATGCAGAGTGGATAGCTGGAAGTAACACAGCAGCATGAGCAGTGCAGCGTGCACGGTTTCCTTTTACCACTGCAGTGGTGGTACGAGGTGACTTTTGAGTCGACTCAAAAGTCAGCGTGCACGGTTCCCTTTTACCAGTGCAGTGGTCGTACCTACCTGGATGAAAGCACGGTCTCCCTTGCCGACCCTGCTGCCATCAGCACCACCAGCAGTGCCGCACTCACTTGCACATGGCTCCATCCGCTGCCGCCTCCCCTACCCCTGCTTTCCCCACCTGCTCCTTCTCCTCCTCTCCCCTCGTCCCTTCCTCCCCTCACTCCCTCGCTTCCGCCTCCTTCTCGTTCTCCTCCTGCATCCCTCACTGCATTACCACCACTACAACCCTCACCGCACAATTGACTGTACCCCTCCTCACTCTCCTCCCCAACCACCCTCCCACCGCCACTCCTCCTCCACCCCTCCTCGCCCCTCCCCACCGCATCCTGCTCCCACATCACCTGGTGAATCCCCCCCACCAGCCACGCCACCACCAGCAGCACCCCATGCATTCCCACCCAGGCAGTGGCTTGCACGAGGGGCAGGACGGAGCGGAGTGAGTAGTTGGGGTGGGCTGTGGCGCCGAAAGGGGAGAGGAGAGTGAGGAGCGTCCAGATGGAGGTGGAGACGAGGGGGAAGACGAGCGGATGGAGGTTCTGAGAGAGCCTGAGGGGGAAAGGAAGGGGGTTCAGGGGGGTAAGGGCTGAGGTGAGTAGAGGGGGTGGGCTGTGGCGCCGAAGGGCGAGAGGAGCGTGAGGAGAGACCAGATGGAGGTAGAGACGAGGGGGAAGATGAGCGGGTGGAGGTGGTGTGAAAGCCTGCGGGGTCAAGACTCAGAAAGCCGCAAACATGCACACACACACACACACCTACACACCTGTAGGTGAAGCGGAAGAGCGAGTCAGCGAGGCAGGGCAGCAGCAGCACGGCAGTCATGGGCAGCACGTTGCGGGCCACGAGCAGCATGGAGGCGAGCGTGTGAGCTGTGGGACCCACCGCGTACATGCCCGCATACGCCACTGTCATGCCGCATGCCTGTGTGGGAAGGGGCGTGCACAAGGGGCGTACAAATATGGAATTTCGAGACGTCTCAAAAGCCGTGGGACCCACCGCGTACATGCCCGCATACGCCACTGTCATGCCGCATGCCTGTGAGTGAGGCGCGGATATGTTGAAGTACAGATGCGGACATGCAGATGTGCATGTGCGCACGTGGACATGCACAGCACACACGTGCATGGCGCGCTGAGCGCGGGCGGTCCCATGCTACCATCCCCTACTCATGCGCATGCTCTCCAGCGCCCGTCCCGTGCTCCGTGAGAAGCAGCCAGCCACAACACAACCGCTATGCGCCCGTCCCGTCCCGTGCTAACAGCTATCTCGCCCACTATGCGCCTTAAACGTCAACATCAGCTGCACCACCACCATCACCATCACCCTCCCAATCCTTATCCCCATCACCATCAGCTGTCTCGGTACAAAGACATCACAAGACATCCGTTCTTATCTGCCAAGACATTACTGCTACCTAGCCCTGCGGACGATCCCTGTGTCAACTGAGTCAACTGAGTCAACGCTCTCAAGGACTCTCTCAGGGACCCTCTCAGGGACCCTTTTAGAGGCCCTTTTAGAGACCCTTTTAGAGACCCTCTTGGGGGACAGTCCCCGTCGGAGACTGTCTCGGAGACTGTGTCGGAAGAGTAACGGGGGGGCTACTGAAGGACGCGGCGAGCGAACTTTTGTGTTGACTCAAAAGTGAACTGCGTCGCGTCGGGGACTGTCTCAGTGAACGTGTCGGAAGAGTAACGGGGGGGCTACTGAAGGACGCGAGCGCGGGGCCAGAGAATATAGTACCACGCGGCGTTTGAGTAGGCTCAGAAGTACCGCCATGGGTGGTGTGATAGGAGGTACTAACCCGTGGTGCTAATTGTTATTCTGAAAGCTGCAACAATTCTATTGACGTGCGTGCGACGTGATGTTTCCTGCATGCGAAGTGCGGCGGCGGCTGCTGCTGCTGCTGCTGCTGCTGCTGCTGCTGCTGCTGCTGCTGCTGCTGCTGCTGCTGCTGCTGCTGCTGCTGCTGCTGCTGCTGCTGCTGCTGCTGCTGCTGCTGCTGCTGCTGCTGTTATTACCTGCGTTGCGACGGCGGCGACGGTGAGTGCGACGACGTCCCGCCACGGCCGGTCGCCCACGCGCGCGGAGGAGAAGAACCGGAGCACCAGCAGCTGCTGCAGCCACGCCGCCGGCACCACCTCCTGCAGCCCGGTGAACGCGGCGCAAATCGCGGCGCCCACTAGCAGGAAGATGGGGCAGCGGGCTGCGCTGCGGGACATGCCGCCGGCGTTACTACTGCTTGCCGCAGCGAAAGGGCAGCCATACGCCATTGCTATGATATACTGGGGTATACTGGGGATGGGGAGAGGCAGTGTACTATGGTAGAGACCCTGGTAGACAGGGTCGTCTTGTCCGTGAGTTATGCCGTCCTACCAGAATAAAGAAGGCAGGAGTCCGGGGGCAGTAGAATTTACAAACCACATGGAATCTGCGCCAAGGACGACCCATGAGAATTCGCGTGAGCACCCGCTCACGAGTTACCACATGGAATGACGTCGCCAATCTTCGGTGACCATTCAACTCTTAGGCTTGGCGAGAGTGTTTCAAGACGGTAACTCGCAACGCGTGACTTCCTACAAGCGACATTCAGAACAAGACCCAAGGTTTCTCTAGAGCCAAAGGTACCGTACAAGCAGTGCTCTTATGTGTGGTCTGGAAGTTTGTATACTTCAATCAGGATTTACCATACACAAAAATATTCCTTCCACTGATTAAGCTGCACACATTATTTTATGCAGTACATTTTCAACCAAATAGATTCTTAACCAACTCAAATTTAGAGGCGAACTCAATGAGAAACATTTGAAGGAATCCAACATTTTGGACAGCATGATTATAGGGACTGAACACGTCTGCAAGTCGAAAGGTAGTGCGTGCGTGCGGGCCTAAGTTGTTTCACAAAAAAATTGTTCCGCACACTTCATCCAGAGTACCTTGCATGCTATTCTTCCATGCTACTACCCGGATTCACGTTGGCCTTACAAGCAGACTTCTTGCACCGCCAGTGGAAATCCACTGGCTAAAAAAGAATGGACGATACACTGAAATCATGCACTGGAGGACCTGCTCTCACAGCACAGACAGACAGCGCACAATGGGCATTGGGCGTCCACACAGCACAGGAAGAATCTTGGGTGAGGTAGTGTTGGAGGCTGTAACACAACAATACATAATGAGCTTAACGATTTAGTAGGGGTAGGTTAGGGGATGGAGCAAGGCGCACCGAGAGCACTATGTGAGCAGAGGGCTTAAGCCCACCATGCATCACAAGGGTTTGTGTGCGGTGCAGCGCAATGCAGTGCAATGCAATGCAATGCAATGCAGGCCATGAGCCAGGGAGGTTGCCATGACTGGAAGACAAGCAATGAGGTTTGCAGCATCACAAGAAACAAAGCTTACTGGGTGCAGAGTCAAGCATCAGTACAAGCAAGGGCAGCAGGATATTTTATACAGTGTGGAGCATCAGGAGAACGTACATGGCAGGCAGGCACCCCACACCATCTCACCCCATCTCAGCCCGTCTCACCCCACTCCACTGCACCGCACCCCAGCAGCCAACAGCTGTACCTGACTGAGACGAAAGCAGGTAGAGGGGCAAAGCAACTGCTCTGTGCGCTTCCACTGTACGCTCCACAGCAGAGCCAGACGCAGAAGCTAATAACGAGGGCGCCAATAACGAGGACGAGGATGACAGAGGGGAGGCAGGGAAAGAGGAGGTGGGGGTGGGGAGAGAAGGGGTGGAGGAGAGGAGAAGGGCGGCGAGGAGGGGGTGGTGGAGCAGGGAGAGGAGGTCTGCTGCCTGGTCACAGACTGAAGGGTGCAGATGGGTGCGCGAGCGAACCACCTGGTGTGAGGGGGAGGAAGGGAGACAGGAGGGAAAAGAGTGGGACGAGGAGGAAAAGGGAGGGAGACGAGAGGACTATGGAGAGAGAGGGCATCCCGATTACCACCTTAGGAAGTATGAGCTGAGATAGAGAGCATTACCAGGATTGCCCAACCTTAGGAAAGCAAGGGCATCCGCCATTTCCAGAAACAAGCACAACGGAAGCTTTGCTGCATGTGAAAGAATCAGTGACACTCCATGTTAGGGCGGATACAGCCTGGTGAGTAGGCAGCATGCATTCGTGGGGCACATGCACACGACCGCATCCACACCCTCACCCACACACTAACCCATGCGTCTATCCATTCTCTCTCCCCCACCCCGCCAATCCCCACTCCCCTTCCCCCCCCCCCCCCCCCCCTCCCACACACACACCTTGGAGAGGCAGACGCGTGCGCGAGTGCGCAGGTCGGTCTCTGCAGCAGCGAGCTTTGCGATGGCTCCCACAGCAGCAGACAGCAGCCGCGAGCGTGCCGATGGCGCCAGCACCGCTGCTGCTGCTCCTCCTGACATACCGCCCATGCTGCTGTCCGCTCCCAGCCTGGTAGACGGAGGGGGGAAGGGGGGGAAGGAGGGAAAAGAGGGGTGTAAAGAGAAGAGGAATGCGTTGGAACAAAGAGTGTGAGTTGGAGAGTTCTTAAAAAGGGATCTGGGCAGGCATGACCTGTGGCTGTAAGCCTAGAAGTTGAGGGTGACGCGGAAAGAGAAGTAGAGAGGGGGAAGTTGGCGTGGAGGAGGACACAACTTCCTGCTGCTAGTGCAGAGAAAGAGAGAGTGAGTGTGGTGGTGGTGGTACTTGCTGGAGCGTGGGCATGTGGGCAGGGCACGCTCTGTGCACTTGGTAGTATAGGATCTCACTCCCTCACTCAGCGCAGAACACGTGTACCTGTATCGCCCATTCACACGAGCTCACTTGGCAGTGGCGGCAGTGGACTCAAACAACAGCGACTGTACGTTCTCAAAGAGAGACGATGCTTGAGAAATGGTCTCAAACATGGCAGATTACAGAGAATGTGTATGACCCAATGTCAGGAGGACACAGGAGCTTCCACTCACTTGGCCGTGGCGATGGACTCAAACAGTAGCAGCTCCACAGCTTCAAAGAGTGACTCCGCCGCTGCTCCCGGCCGCTGCTGCCCCTGCGCCTGCGCCTGCCCCTGCCCCACACCGCCATCCCCCGCATTCCTCCCTGCCACGGCTGTGCCACCACCACCAACACCACCGCTGCTGCTACTGCTGTCAAACTTGCCGCCGCCGCTGCTGCTGCTGTTGCCACTGGTGGTGGTGATGGGTGTTGCTGCTGTGGCGAGGGTGGAGACAGCTGAGGCGTACTCACCAGAAAGCCAACACAGGTGGAGAACCAACGTGTGCTGCCATGGAGGCAGGGGGGCAGAGCGGCAGGGCGGCAGGGTGGCAGGGGGGAGGGGGGGCAGGGGGGCAAGGGGGGCAGGGGGATAGGGGGACAGGGGGGTAGGGGGGCAGGGGGATAGGGGGACAGGGGGTAGGGGGGCAGGGGAGAGAAATCAGAGGGGCAGAAGCCAGTAAAACGTGAGTCGTGTGCATGGTGAGTCATGGGTCGGAAGTCGGGAGTCGGAACTGGTTCACTGCTGCAGAAGAAGTAGAGCTGTTCCGCCCACTGAAGCAGTATCGGACATGGGCATCCCCACGGCAAAAGAAGCAAAAAGAAGTTCAAGTTAGCGCACGCACAGAAAGACCGAGCAGCACTCAGCACGCCATGATGGTGACATTGGTGAGTGTTAGAGGGCCCTACGACAGCAATGGCCTTCGTTGACCTTGGACTTGGCAGGTCGGCGCCTAACGACTGAGTCTACTCGGCACCGACGAATGAGTTCGGTGGAGGTCGGGTGTGACTACGTGTGACTATGTGCAACTGCGCAGGAGTTCGCATGAAGAAGCGAGAGTCCGTGGGAGTCGTTGGTGCTTCCTTGAAGAGTCGCACCACTCCTTGCTGTGTTGGTGGAGTGGTGTGCACGGAAGCGAGAAGCCGATGCTGAGTTGGGTTGGGAAATTGGCGAGGCGCGTTCGCTCACCCACACACCACTTTCGTGGGGTTGGGTTACTCGCAGTGCCCACGCAACCTCTTGTGAAACCCTCGCCTGCCTATATATGTTTGTGTTTGCTTGTGTGTTTGAGATATTCTATATTCCTAGTGAAGTCCAAATGCTACTTCAATTCTCACCAAGTCCTTAGAGGCAAGCGCTACCGAAACTCTACCAAGTTGCTGGCGCAACATCATTCCCATAACAGAAACTCTCTCGTTATCGCTACGCTCTCTAATAAATTCCTTCATGGTGCGGTGAGCGTAGAACGAACACGCATAGATTTCCATCGTCGTTGATATTCGCGTTCGTGTACTCGCCTTGGCGTGCGGCGTTAGTGAAGGGCGCTTATTCATCTAAGTTGAACCTCTCTTGATTTCCCTCCAGTTACGTTCTCGGACCCAAGGATAGGGCGTTTGGTAATTTATTACCACTCGTCTGAGGACCCTTGTGAGATGACCCCGAGACAAGGGATTTAAGGAAGGGACACTTTATTTTATTTTGTGGTACCTTATAGAGACGTCGTAGAGGATGAGTACAGAGGAGGCGAACGTGGAGGCCGGTAATTTGCGCGCCTTAGAGGAGGATCTCGTGGCTCGTCATTCTCGTGGTGAGATTAGTGATATCGAATACGAGCTAATGTTGGAGGGATTGCGCTCGCGTCGGCGTCGTGAGCACCCTTCGTCACGTGTAGAGAATGTTGAGCAAGTTGCGGGAGGTTCTAGTGCGTGAGATATGGCTGTCGATGGCGGAAACAGCGATGACGAGGAGTTTGATGGGTTGATGTCGCGTGGGGTCCTGCGAGGACCAACTCGGTTTAGTACGGCTAGCGTTGGCGGTGTACAGGAGCGTGTTCATCGAGCAGCAGCGTCACGAGAGCATGCGAATGTAGGACGACGGAGCGTTGCTGGAGGAGGAATTGCGGAAGAGTTTGATAGTGAGGCTATGCCGGGCGTTACCCCGATTGGATCGATATCGAGGGACGAGGGAATAGCCCCCAACTATGGCTACTTCAGATTCACTCCAGATAAGATCGTTGTCACTAGGCCGTTAGAAGGACGTCACGACCTGTCGACGTGGACAGAATCAATCGAGCCGCAGCTTGAGATCGCTCAGCTAAAGCGATTTATAGATGGCACCACCCCCATTCCACCAGCGCGTGCGCTTGCGCATCTCTCTAAGTTCCGCGCGATGCAGTTGCTGACATTCACCACCATTTCCCGATGCTGCTCCCCAACCGTACAGATCGCCCTTAAGGCGTGTCGCATGAAGGTCGATCCCGGCTATCAGGCATGGCAGTTTATTATGCGCACGTACATGGCGAAGGACGATCTGTACATCGGTGAGTTAGAGCAGGCGCTCACTAACCTCGAGATGGGAGAGCACGAGTCCGCTACGTCCTATTGCAACCGTGCGCAGCAGATCCTAGTGAACCTGAGGATGGCCGGCGTAGATTACTCGCAGGCGTCGTACATCACTCACGTTGTGAAGGGGTTGCCGCAGCAGTACAACCTCTTACGCAGGATGCTGAAGTTGCCGCAGGTGCGCAAGGAGTTGGACGAGGACACCCTCGCTAGCTACATCATCGAGGAGGAGTGTACGCTGGCGGCAGAGGGACGAAAGGACCAAAACCTTCCCCAGGCTAACCAGGTCTTTGCCAAGAAGGGTAAGCCCCAATTCCAGCAGACTTCATTCCCTTCCCCTCCCACTACGGCACAGCAGCAGCAGCCTAAGAATGGGGGTGGGCTTGGTGGGGGAGGGGAGAAGTGGAAAGGGGGTAAGGATGGCCAGCCGAAGGGGGGGAAAGGGGGCTTCAAGGGGAAGTGCTATGTGTGTGGACAAATAGGGCATGTTGCTAAGTACTGTCAGCAGCGGGCGGATAAGGAGGCAGACACCGGTGGAGAGGGTTCTGGAGGTAGCAGCGGAAAGGGGGGTGATGGCTCTCAGGGGAGCGGGCAGTCATCATGTGCGATGGTGAAGCCCGTTGTGGAACAGACTCCTCTCGTTGTGCTAGAGCCTGAGGCCGGAGAGGGCTTACAGGCTGTTGCAGCTGCTGTGAAGGCGAACCTGAGCGTCGTGCTGCTTGATAGCGGATGCTCCCACCATCTCATGGGAGATCGTTCTGCCTTTGTGGAGATGAGCAGCGGCGGCAGTATTAAACAGGTTACTGGCTTCAACGGCGCACTTCAGGAGGTCCAGGGGCGGGGCACAGTCGCTCTTCTTGGAGAGGGGGGCAGGCGTGTCTTGGTGCCGGACGTGCTGTACGTACCAGGAGTGCAGGCGAGTCTTCTCTCTGCTGGGCAGCTGCGTGATAGTGGTGTGCAGCTGCTGGATGCCGGGGATGTGACTTTGCTGCGGGCACCAGATGGATCGCTCCTTGGTCGTGCCGAGTTCAAGGGGCGTGTTCTCTGCACGAACTTCCAGCCGTGTTCGACGCAGCAGCAGGAAGGCGAAACGGTGGCACTTCGTACCTTGGCGACGGGCGTACGGTCTAAGGGGGACCTGTGGCATGCGCGTATGGCACACGTTGGTATTGATGCCATCGAGCGCACAGCGGCTCACGGGTCAGTGAAGGGCTTGGATTTGGAGAAGGGGGGCAAGTCAGGCATACCTTGTGTCTCCTGTATTGGGGGAAAGATCACTCGTCATACCTTTCCTTCTGTGGGAGAGGAGGAGGATGAGTTGCTCGGGGGGTGCATGCTGACCTGTGCACGACTTCATGCTCTTCCTCGACGGTAAAGGCATCACCCATGACCTCACATGCCCGTACACGCCGGAGCAGAACGGGATGGCCGAGAGGGAGATGCGCAACATTGTGGAGGCGGTGCGGACGATGTTGCTGCACATGGGTGTGCAGCATCACTGGTGGCACCTGGCGTTGGCTCAGGCCGTCTGGGTGCGCAACCGCGTGGAGCACGCCTCACTACCCTCTGGTGTGACGCCGTACGAGCTCGCCTTCCGACGAAAACCTGATGTCAGTATGGTGCGTGTTTGGGGCTGTATGCTGCAGTACATGGTACCACAGTCGCAGCGTGGGAAGAAGCTGGCGCCTAAGGCTCGCTGGGGGTTGCACTTGGGTGTGTCAGCTGCGAGCAAGGGCTGGGCCGTGCTGGACTTGGAGTCCAACCGCCTCATCACCACTGTGGAAGCTGTGTTCTATGAGACCATGTCCTTAGCAGGATGGAAGGCTTGGCATCAGCAGGAGCATGGGGGGCGTTTGATGCCCTATGAGCCCCTTCCCTCATTCTTCCCGATCACTCTCAAGGAGGCGGAGGAGGAGGAGGAGGTGGTCGCACCTCCTGCTATGCCCTATGTCCCTACCGCGGTCCCCACCCCACCTCCGCCTTCGGTCTACCCTCGTGTGATTCCCCCTGCCCCGCCTTTTCCCTCCTCACCCCCCTTGGCTTCCCCTCCTCCTCCTGTTATTCCATCTCCCCTTCCACCCTCCATCCCTCCTGCACCTACTCCGCCCTCTTCTTCGTCTTCCACGGCGCCGCCCGTTGGTGAGGGGGGGATGGAGGTGCCACCGTCTGTGGAGATCACCGACGGGCAGCGCCTTGAGACTGAGCAGCTGCAGGACGAGAGCAGTATGGATGGAGTACAGCAGAGTGGGGGGCAGGAGACAGGGGAGCAGCAGACAGGGGAGCAGAAGATTGGGGAGCAGCAGACAGGGGAGCCGCAGACAGGGGAGCAGGAGATGTGGGGAATTAGAGATGGTGGTCGTGTGTTGGTTTCTGGGACGACCACTGCACCACTGCGTTGCTCCACTCGCATAACTCGTGGTGTCCCGTCTGTTCGATACGCATGGGCTGTAGTGGTTGAGCCAGCGGGCTTGGAGGTGCCACCGTCTATGGAGATCACCGACGGGCAGCGCCTTGAGACTGAGCAGCTGCAGGACGAGAGCAGTATGGATGGAGTACAGCAGAGTGGGGGGCAGGAGACAGGGGAGCAGCAGACAGGGGAGCAGAAGATTGGGGAGCAGCAGACAGGGGAGCTGCAGACAGGGGAGCAGGAGATGTGGGGAATTAGAGATGGTGGTCGTGTGTTGGTTTCTGGGACGACCACTGCACCACTGCGTTGCTCCACTCGCATCACTCGTGGTGTCCCGCCTGTTCGATACGCATGGGCTGTAGTGGTTGAGCCAGCGGGCTTGGATGACGAGGAGGAGGACGAGGAGTGGACTAACCTGGACCCGGACGTGGCAGCTGATCCTGAGAGGCAATGGGACATAGCGAAAATGACAGTGAAGGAGGCCTTGGGCTGCTGGAAGGGAGACAAGGTGAAGGAGGCGATGGATGAGGAGATGCGGAGCTTGATTGAGCAGGGGACGTGGGAGTTGGTTCCGCGTCCGCCAGGGGTGAATGTGATGAAGAACCGCTGGATTTTGAACACCAAGTTCCGACCTGATGGGATAGTGGAGCGTGAGAAGGCGAGGCTGGTGGTGAAGGGGTTCACGCAGGTGGCAGGGGTGGACTATGAGGAGACGTACGCCCCTGTGGGAAGCTATGTGACGGCGCGTGTGCTTCTGGCGATTGCAGCTGCACTTGATTTGGACCTGATGCAGCTCGATGTGAAGAACGCGTTCCTCCATGGCGTGCTGGACCGAGACCTTTACATGGAGCAGCCGAGCTACTACGAGGATGGGACTCCTCGTGTCTGTAAGTTGGTGAAGAGTCTGCATGGGCTCAAGCAGAGCCCGATGCTATGGTATGAGGCCTTGGATGGGGTGCTGCTTGGGGCTGGATGGAAGAAGAGCAAGGTGGATGAGGCTCTGTACTTCAAGACTGATGCTGAGGGGGAGATGTGCTGGCTGCTGGTGTATGTGGATGACCTGCTTGCTGCCAGCCGCAGTCAGAGCATGCTAGCGGAGCTGCGTGACCTGCTGCAAAGTGCCTTTCAGCTGCGGGAGATTAGCCCTGTGGAGTAATATCTGGGGTTGCAGCTGATTCGGGACAGGCCCACGAGGAGGCTGTGGCTGCACCAGGGGGCCTATGTGGACAAGGTCCATAGGCGCTTCTTTGACGGGGAGCAGCCGCTGCGAGTGCCTCGCACCCCTCTTTCCTCTGACCCTTTTAGTGTGCAGACCTTCGAGGATGTGGGATGGCAGTCTCGCCAGGAGGAGGAGTACAGGCAGAAGGTGGGATCCTTGCAGTTCGCGGCCTGTACCACCCGTCCCGACATCTCGTTCGCCTGCAGCAAGCTGGGGTCGGGCCAGACTGTGCGGAGTGATCAACACTGGAAGGAGTTGGACCGGTGCTTGACGTACTTGGTGGGGAGCAGGGATGTGGCGCTGGAGTTTGGTGGGGGGCCGGAGTCCTTGGAGCTGGTGGGCTATGCCGATGCTGGTGATGCCGGGGACAAGCAGAACAGGACCAGCACAGGTGGCTATGTCTTCGTGCTCGGGGGTGCTGCTGTCTCATGGGCGAGCCAGCGGATTCGTTGCGCCACCCTTTCCTCCACTGAGTCTGAGTACGTTGCTGCTGTGGAGGCTAGGAAGGAGGCGCGCAGGCTGCGCTTCCTGCTGGCAGAGTTTCAACTGCTGAGGAGTGAGGAGCCCACGACTCTCTTTGTGGACAACTCCTCCGCCATTTCAGTGGCAGGTGGCATGGGGCTCAAGGGGAGCCTCAAGCACATGGAGCGTCGTCACATGTGGCTGCAGCACATGGTCAAGCGCAGGAAGCTGCAGCTGCAGTACATCCCTACGAGCGAGCAGCCTGCTGACTACCTCACAAAGGCATTGCATTTCCCCGCCTTCAGTTGTTGCTTCGAGGCTGTGGGGCAGGTGCGGCTCTCGAGCGAGGGGAGTGAGACCTAGACACTCCATGATGTGGATGGTGCCATGGCCTATCCATGGCTGGTGCGGTGCGTGTTTTCACTTTGAGAGTGCTTCGTTTGTGTGTGTTTCCCTTTGTTTTGGCGTGTATGTGTGTATGCATGCCCTGTGATTATAAAGGGCCTTGCTATAGTATGGCAGGGGAGTGTTAGAGGGCCCTACGACAGCAATGGCCTTCGTTGACCTTGGACTTGGCAGGTCAGCGCCTAACGACTGAGTCTACTCGGCACCGACGAATGAGTTCGGTGGAGGTCGGGTGTGACTACGTGTGACTATGTGCAACTGCGCAAGAGTTCGCATGAAGAAGCGAGAGTCCGTGGGAGTCGTTGGTGCTTCCTTGAAGAGTCGCACCACTCCTTGCTGTGTTGGTGGAGTGGTGTGCACGGAAGCGAGAAGTCGATGCTGAGTTGGGTTGGGAAATTGGCGAGGCGCGTTCGCTCACCCACACACCACTTTCGTGGGGTTGGGTTACTCGCAGCGCCCACGCAACCTCTTGTGAAACCATCGCCTGCCTATATATGTTTGTGTTTGCTTGTGTGTTTGAGATATTCTATATTCCTAGTGAAGTCCAAATGCTACTTCAATTCTCACCAAGTCCTTAGAGGCAAACGCTACCGAAACTCTACCAAGTTGCTGGCGCAACATCATTCCCATAACAGAAACTCTCTCGTTATCGCTACGCTCTCTAATAAATTCCTTCAGTGAGCACCCTCTGTAGCAGCGCACCCTCGTAGTACCCGCAGGGAAATCCAAAGAACCCAAAGATATGAGAGAGCTCACAGAATGCTTGAAAGACTTCAGGGGGTACCTGAGCCATGGATGTAATTGGAGCAGTGATGATGCGCACTATGGTGGGCTGGCATGGACCGGGGAAACGGGGGGGCGGCACGGCCACCATGGGTATTTGGGAGAAAAAGGGAAGGACAGAATGGGGGAAGGAGGGAAGTTGGGAAGGGGACAATGTTGGAAGGGAGGAAAACGAGGATTTTGGAAACGTCTCAAAGGTAGTGCACGAGGGTAGGGGGTTAGGAGGAGGAGGGAAGGGGATGTGGAGAAGGGTGAGGGACTGGGAACGGGAAGAATATTGGGCATGCCAGGTTTGGTGTGTGGCAGAAGCTACGAGTTCACAATAAACCATGGCAAAGCATGGAGATTTGCCGGCTTATGACATGTGGCAGCACCTCATTGAATGACTGGTAGTGATTACCTGAACAGCGAGCAGCAGTGCAGGGCAGAGCCTGACGAGCACGAGTTTTGAGGCGCCTCAGAAATGGAGATTGGCAGCACCTCATGGTTTGATTGGTAGTAATTGTACTTTTGAGAATTCTCAGAAGTACCATCATCGTTTGGTAGTGATTACCTGAACAGCGAGCAGTAGCGCAGGGCAGAGTCGGAAGAGTACGAGCAAGGTGTGTAGGCACAGCTGCTGCACCTGTGGGGCACAGGGGAGTGAAGGTTGGAGGGAGCGACGAGCAGATTATTTAGTCGACTTGAAAAACCAAGAGTCGGAAGAGCACGAGCAAGGTGTGCAGGCACAGCTGCTGCACCTGCCGAGCATGCAGACAGCGGACGGGAGAGGAGGAGGTGAGGAGGAGGGAGGTAGCGATGGGAGAGGGAAGGCGGAAGAGCAGGAAAACAGCAAGCAGTTCCTGAGATGTCTGGGAACGTTCCACCGCACCTGGTGCTGGTGCTGGTGCTGGCGCTGGTGCTGGTGCTGGTGCTGGTGCTGGTGCTGGTGCTGGTGCTGGTGCTGGTGCTGGTGCTGGTAGGTAACGTTGGGAAGGGCGAACTTGGAGGCGTCTCAACAGTCCCTCTAAGCAAGAGGCAAGAGTCTGTTCAGAATGTAATCAAGGCTCCTCCCCCCTCACCTGGTGTTGGTAGGTGGCGTTGGGGAAGAGTGCGTCGAAGCGGCTCATTATGACTGGCAGCAACGCCCGCCACTCATCTGCACGTGCCGACGAGCAATGAGCGGCGAGAGGTGAGAAAGGAGCAGTGGGAGGCGAGCAGTGAGAGGCGAGCAACGAGAGACAGCGAGACAGAGCAGACAGGGATGGAAGGAGAGGGAGAAGGCAAGGATTAGTGAGGAAGGGAGTCCGTCCAGTCAACCTCCCTTCTCGAAATTTATTCGCCCCTCTCCTTGCCCCAACTCACCCCCCTTCAACTGCCCCTTGCACGTTAAATCCGTCTGAAGCAGCATGTGAGGCGCCATGGTGCTCCCCTCTATCTATCCACACTACAGGCGATTCAACCCCAGCCGTCTCCTCACCTTGCCCCATGCCTGTTAAAACCGTCTCCAGAAGTGCATTCAGCAGGTGAGGCGCCATGGCAAGGGGCTCCCCTCTGTCTACCCACTACTGTCAACTCATCCCCCTCTTCAACTTGCCCCAACTATACCTCCTCACCTTGCCCCATGCCTGTTAGAACCGTCTCCAGAAGTGCATCCAGCAGGTGCGGCGGCACAGCAAGGCACACCTGCAGCCACACTCCCTGCTGCAACTCCAACCCTCCTAAACCCTAAGCCTCTCACCTCACCTTGCCCCATGCCTGTTAGAACCGTCTCCAGAAGTGCATCCAGCAGGTGAGGCGCCATGGCAAGGCGGCCTTTCAAACCCACTCCCCCTATCATTGACCTTCCCGACTCATCGTCTCCTCACCTTGCCCCGTGCCTGTTAAAACCGTCTCTAGCAGAGCATCCAGCAGGTGGGGCACAATGGCAATGCATTCCTGCAGCCACACTCCTGACAAGTTTCAACGAAAACCCCCCGCTCACCTTGGCCCATGCCTGTTAAGACCGTTTCCAGCAGAGAATCCAGCAGGTGAGGCGCCATGGCAAGGCACTCCTGCAGCCGCCTCTCATTCTCCCGGGTGTCTTCCCTCAACCCCTCACTCCACACCTCAGCTGCTGCTGCTGCCGCCGCGGCGGCCGCTGCCGCTGGTGTTAATCCTGCTGCTGCTGGTGTTGGTGATGGTGGTGTTGGTGTTACAGTTGCTCGAGACGCAGTGACAGGAGAGCCTAGGCCAGTTCCACCACCCTCACCTCCTACTCCTCCTCCTCCTCTTCCTGCTCCTGCTCCTCCTGCTGCATCCTTCCTTGCAGGACTCCCTGCTATCCCAATGCCTCTCCCAACAAACCCATCAATGCCACCCCCACCACCACCACCACCACCACCCCCACCACCTCCGTCCCCTACACTCCCCCACCGCCCCTCGCCCTCCCCCTGCGCCCGCCCTCCCTCTCCCCCTGCCTCTCTCCCTCCCCCGTAAACCCCTCGTTGCCTCTCACTCCGCTCACCCCCCTCACCCCCATCGCCACCATCATCTCTGTCCGCGTTATGAGCAGCCCCAGCTGTCTGTCTACGGGCTTCAGTGAGCAGCGCTTGGGAGAATCCCGGCAGGCGCCACATGACCGCCTCCTGCTGCCTGCGCGACCCCACCTGGAGGGTAGGAGGGCAGGAGGGTGAGAGGGCAGAGGGCATGGGGGCAAGAGAGCAGCAAAGCGGTTTGTAATTGTAGCAGTTTGATTGAGTCCGCTTTTGAGAATTTGCAAAAAATGCCAAGTCCATATCCTGCACACGCCCTCACTTCACTCTCAGAACTCAATCCCCAAATCCACTAGGTAATGAATCATACCATCTCATTCCCCCCGTAAAAACCATGGACGCTTTTGCCTTGAGCCTTACCTTCAAGGCAAATCTCACTCACCTCACCCATCTCCAAAGGCCAACTCGCCTCGCACTCACCTCCCACTCGCACTCGCCTGCAGGCGGCTCATCAATATAAGCCTTTCTATGAACCCACGTCCCACGATATAAGCACCGCCAGAGGCGCCATAGGGACAGGCACATCTTTTGAGTCTGACAAAAAAACGGCCATCTGACACTCACCTCGCCCTTCGAACGCTTCCCTCAAATATGGAAACTCACCTCCGCCTCCCCTGCAGCCAGCTCATCTATCAGCATCCACGATATCAGCACCGCCAGAGCCGCCGGCGCCATCCCCCCATCCGCTCCCCTCTCCCCTCCCGCCCTCCCTACACCCATCCCCCCCACCCCAGTTCCCCCGCCCCCACCTCCCCCTTGTTTCTTTCGCCCTGCGCCCTTTTCCCCCACACCAGCAGCAGCAGCGGCGCCCCCGGCACCAGCAGCAGCACCGCTACCACCACCAATACCACCACCAGCAGCCCCGACAGCAGCACCAACAGCAGCACCGCCAGCACCAGCAGCGGCAGCAGCAGCGGCGGAGGAGGCAGTTTCTGGTCGCGGCTTGCTGGCAGGCAGATTGGGGTCGCTCTCGCTGTCGTTGTCTGCCGTGCCCGTGAAGCCAAAGTCCATCAGGGCTAGCACGTCCTGTCCATGCAGGGGGGGAGAAGGATGGCAGGGCGATGCAGGGGGAGAGAAGGATGGCAGGGCGATGCAGGGGGAGAGAAGGATGGCAGGGCGATGCAGGGGGAGAGAAGGATGGCAGGGCGATGCAGGGGGAGAGAAGGATGGCAGGGCGATGCATGGTTGGGATGGCAGGGAGAAGTGGGAGGAGGGGAAGGGAGTTGGTGAGAAGCAAGGGAAAGGGGAAGTGGGGAGGGGTCGCTCTCGCTGTCATTGTCTGCCGTGCCCGTGAAGCCAAAGTCCATCAGGGCTAGCACGTCCTGGCCACGCGGCAGGGCAACGCATTGGGGGGGATGGCAGGGAGAGAGAGGGGGAAGGGTGCAAGGGGAGTTGGGGAGAAGATGGGGAAAGGGGAAGTGGGCTGGGGTCGCTCTCGCTGTCGTTGTCTGCTGTGCCTGTGATGCCAAAGTCCATCAGGGCTAGCACGTCCTGGCCATGCATGGGGTGGGGGATGGCAGGAGGAGGGGGGAGTGGGGGAGGGGGGTTCGGGAGAAGTAGGGGAAAGGAGAAGTGGGGAGGGAAGTTGGGGAGAAGTAGGGGAAAGGGGAAGCGGGTTGGGATTGCTCTTGCTGTTGTTGTGTGATGCGCCTGTGTAGTGAAAAGCAGAAGGGGAATATAGGTGGCGGGGGGACGGGACGGGACACTCACATCAGCAGCTGGCTCCGCTGCTGCAGCCATGAGGGTGGACGCCCTGCCGCCTGCTGACATGCCCAGGGCGATGGCCAGCACTGCAAGAGGAGTGGGCGGAAGGAGGGGATTGAGGGGTGAGAGGGAATAGGAAGGGGAGGTTGGCGGACTGACAGGCCATGAGGGTGGACGCCCTGCCGCCTGCTGACAAGCCCAGTGCAATGGCCAGCACTGCGCGGAGGGAGGGGAGTGGGGGCCGAGAGCGAGGGAATAGAGAGGAGAGGGAGCAGGAAAGTGACAAGCCATGAGCGAGTGGACGCCCTGCCGCCTGCTGACATGCCCAGGACGGTGGCCAGCACTGTCCAGGGGGAGTGGGGGGTGGTGGGAGGGAATAGACGGGGGGAACTGGTTGGTAGAGTGACAGGCGACTGCTGGTGTGTTTCTTGCAGCAGAGCAGCCATGAGGGTGGCCGCCCTGCCGCCTGCTGACATGCCCAGGGCGATGGCCAGGGCCCACCACGGCGAGAGAGGTGGGGAGTGGGAGGGAATGGACGCGAGAGGTTGGTTGAGTGACAGGCAAGTGCCAGTAAAAGAATAGAGACAAAAACACAGGGAGCAGGAAGGCGGGGGCAGGGAGCAGGGAGCAGGGAGCAGGGAGCAGGGAGTAGGGAGGAGGGAACAGGGAGAAGGGAGCAGGGGGCACGGAGAAGGGAGCAGGGGGCAGGGAGAAGGGAGAAGGGAGCAGGGGGCAGGGAACAAGGAACAGGGAGGCGGGAGCACCTGGGAGGTCAAGGAGTCGGAGGAAGAGGGGGATGAGCGAGGAGGAGGAGAGAAGGTCCGGAATGAGCTGTGTGAACTGAGGCAGCACGCTGGGGAGGGAGGGGGGAGACAGGAGGGGGGATGGGGAGGACAGAAGGGGGATGGAAGGGGAGGAGGGATGGGGAAGAGAGGAGAGCGAGGGAGAAAAATGAGCCACATGAGGCATGATGTGAGATGCCTAAACGCAGAAGCAGAGCATGTGCCTTGGGGGGGGGGGTTCTTCCCATCGAAGATATCCCATTTCAGATTGTCTATTAAAGCACACTGTGCAAAACATCTGCATGGGCTCACATCACATCACATCACATCACATCACATCACATCACATCACATCACATCACATCACATCACATCACATCACATCACATCACATCACATCACATCACATCACATCACATCACATGCTGCCACCAGACAACGGGAGGGTCATGTGAGGCGGCTAAAAAGCTACAAGAAAATACCTCACATGGCCCTCCCGCCGCCGTCTTGTACAAATCTAGGCGTCTAGAAAGGAGCTTAGAGGACCTGCATGGAATGGACTCACTCACATGCTGCCGTGCGATGCGAGGGTCTTGAGAAGAAGCGGAAGGTGCTGGTAGAAAACGGGCAGGAGCGAGGGAAGGCAAGGCATGAGGAAAGGCGAGGAGCATGGGCGAGGCAAGGGGGAGGGGCAAGGGCGAGGCGACGGGGAGGGCCAAAGGAGAGGGGCAAGTGGGAGGGGCAAGGGGAAGGGGCAATGGGGAGGGGCAATGGGGACGGGCAATAGGGAGGGGCAATGGGAGGGGCAATGGCGAGATACAGCGAGAGTGAGATCGATGGGATGCGCACAATGAAGCAAGCGGTAGAAAAAGGGGAGAGATACATGTGGACGGTGAAGCAGCTACAGGAGGGAACGGAATGGAGGGCAAGCGAACGAAAATGGGAGAGAGAGACGGGGGCATATGGGGTGGTGGGGGGGATGGGACACGGGGGACAGGGGGGGGAACGGGGGGGTCGTGGGGGAATGGGGGGGACGGAGAAAATGAGCATGAGGGTTGGTGCAAAGGAGACACGGGGAAGGCGTTGGAGCGAATGCTGTGTGGCGCACCTGCTGCAGAATGCGGGGGTGGGAGTGGCGCAGGGGCAAGCGGCAGGAGGCGAAGAAGGAGAGGCACTCTCGCGCAGCCATAGGGTCCCAGAACCAACTGTACGCAAAGGGGGGACGGGGGAGGGGGAGGAGGAAGGGGCGGATGGCGGGGGAGGGGAAGGGGGAGGAGGAGGGGGGAGGTGGAGGGGGAAGGGGGAGAGGAGATGTGAGAGGGAAAACAGTGAAGGCTTGATGATATGTGTGTGGATGATGGCGTGTACGAAAACGATGTGGGTTAGGATCAAATATGGGGGAGTGGAGAGGGGAGAGGGAAAGAAATGGCGTTCGGGTGTTGAGGTGTGCGTGTGCATGATGGCTTATGCCATAATCCCACTGCCGATGCCCATGCTGCGATATGCGTCTGCACACACATGCCGCACACACATGCCACTCTCACACACATGCCACTCTCACACACATGCCACTCTCACACACATGCCACTCGCACACACATGCCACTCTCACACACATGCCACTCGCACACACATACCCCTTCCCATGTCAAAGCCACCGGGCAGAAGAGATGACGTGAGAGAAGGCCGCGAGGAGAGGCAAGGCCGCGTACGTACGAGGGAAGGCAGGAGGTCATGAGGGTGTTGAGAGCGGTGTCTAGCGGTAGCAGCCCTTCCTCCCCTGCAGCTAGGAAGAAGCGCAGCGATGCCTGGGACATGGATGGGGTGGGAAGGGGGCGGGTGAGGGGGGTGGGGGAGGAGAAGAGAGGTAGGATGGGATGGAGGAAAGAGTCAAGAAAGAATGAGCGAAGCAAGGTTGTGTTGAAGTGAAGCCTCTACCATTTGACGCCGTGCACCGTGCGATACGGAAGGGGCGGGATTGTAATAAGGAGAGGCGCTCTAGAGGAGAATGAGGGAGGGGAGAGAGGGGAGAGAGGGGGGAGAGAGGGGGGGGGGAGAGGGGAGGGGGTGGGGTGGGAGGAAGGGAGGGAGGAGGGAGAGAGGATACGGAGAGATGACAACTGGGGATTTGCCTTTTGAGGCGAATCTAAAGTAGGGGTTGGAGGGGTGTGGGTGTGGGGAGGAAGGGGTGGAAACGGGGCCTTACAACGAGGAGGGGAGCTGCAGCGGGTGGGGGCCGAGAGAGGGAGGAGCGGTGGGTGGATGGAGCGAAGAGACGGTGCACTAGGCGGTTGAGATGGGGCAGCACCTGGTGCTCCCACTTCTCCCTCCGCCGCTGCTGCACCTGCTGCTGCTGGTGATGGTGGTGATGGTGATGATGATGATCGGGCTCATGGCTGTAGTGTCTTCTCCCGCCCCGTGCATCTGGGCCGTCCAAGTGGCCCAGGAAGATGAACTGGTGAAGTCGGCGCACCTGTGAGCCAGGGAATTGGCATGAGATGGCGGAGGCAAGTGGGGGCGGGGGCGAGGGTTCACACGTTCTTTCCGCACACGGCGGTGACAGGAATGATAGTTTAGTGCAGGGGAAAGAATAAAGGAAGAAGAAAGCAGAGAGACGGTGGGTAGAGGCGGGGAGCAATGTTAGGTTGGAGCGGAATCAGCAGCTTCAGAATCAGCGGTCTTCAGAAAGACGCGACGGCGGCCACCTGCTGCGTGAGGAACGGCCAGTCGACGCTGCTGCTGTCGCCGCTGGAGCTCGGAGGGCGGCCGTCGCCGCCCGCGCCTCCTACGCGAGTGCGCGGCAGCTGGATGATGGCGCGCAAACACCGCTCTATCTCCTCCTCCTCCGCCTCCTCTTCAGATAGTCTCGCAGCCATCTGCGCTGTGTAGTGCTGCGCGTGGGCCGCTTGTGTGGATTTATCCCGAAGGAGTTCTTGGGGACATGGTAGGGAAGGAAAAATGCGGATGGTCACTAACAAGGGCCTCGATAAAATGTACAGTTGCATATTGAAGCGAACATGAAGTATTGCTGCGTGTTTGTCACAGCTCAAAACTCAACGTTTTCATACGTAATATATGTGAACAATTGTGAGCCCTTTTCTGGCATGTTCTCACTAGAGACAATATCTATTAGAGATATTTTCCATATGCACTGCACCGCATGACTTGACTAGACAGATTTATCCAGTATATGACATATTGGGAATTTCGACAATGTGAATGTGAGAAGAACAGTTCAAAAGGGACATATTTGTGAATTATCCTCCAGCTCTTATGTGATAATTTACTGTTGGTGGCAGCATCCATACGAAACCTTTGCTTGGGCCCCTAAAACTGGACCTGTTCAGGTTTCTGTTTTCGTTTCAGGGGTTCGGTGGGAGAACCAGGAAGGTGGATTGCCGGGCCCAGGGCCACTGCGTGGACGTACTCGCGTCGGTTTAGCGGCGCGGGTCCTCTCCAAACCAAACCTGGTCATCCCCTCCGCCTTTGTCCTATGTACTGTACAGACACTAGCCTCCAATGAACAGTCCTTAGTTTTCGAAACACACATTCCGCACACGTGCCTTCCTGCCGGCGTTCTTCCACTCTCGCTCCACCCCACCCACCCCACCGCCTCTCTGATCTCTCGAGGAAAAAACGCGGGAAGAAATACATGGAGGCGAACAGATTGAACAAGAACAGATACACATAGGTGCTGCCTGGTTGGTGAAGGTGAACTGTGTACACGCTTCTACTTTGCCACTTGTGTCAGCCTCATCGGAAGGTCAAAGCTTATTGTTGAAAATCTTGATTGCCATGTACGAGGGCAGTTCATGTAACTGTTCAGGCTGGTGAGGAGCAGTTCAAAGAGGTTATGCGAGGAAACCCCCTGCAGAGTGCACAACATCGTACTCAACCGCTGTAAACACACTCATTGTGACCAGCCCAGACAAGCCTGAGATAAAAAGGTGATATTTTTCACAATAGAGTCTACGAAGAACGAATCGGCTTCACGTCATGGCGCGAACATCGTCTCATAGTTTCCACTGGCGCTTAGCTTCCGACAGCCACCTGCCGACAGCGTTAACATTCCGTGCCGTTGCTCTAATAGTGCTGGTACTCGTACTGGTAGTACCGCATTCACTCTCCGCCGCCTTCCCGCACAACCACTCCGCCTCGGGAATCACCGCAGTGGACTGGCTGACGAACTACCCTGAATATGGGGACTCGCGCGAGTCGTCGCTTGACCCGTCGCACGAGTCGCATAATGCGAAAGAGCGTCGCACGAGCCTTCTTGAGAGGGTGTCGTCGGCGGCGACACCAACATTACTCGCCGACAGTCAGCGTAAGTGATAGCCGCACACGTTTCCCCTTGTCACAGCACGCCGTTGCTCGTTTTCCTTGCTCCGCTGTCCCTCCACCTTGGCCGTCCTGCGTTTCGCCTCATCCCACACCCATGTCCGTGCCTGTTCCGTCGCACACGCTGCGCTTGTGTCCTTCTGCCGCCGCACGTTCCACAACTGGCAGCTCATTCACGTTTTTCCCTTGGTTCCCCCCCTCGCCTCGCCTCGCCTCGCCTCGCCTCGCCTCCCCTCCCCTCGCCTCCCCTCCCTTCCCGTCCCCTGCCCTCCCCTCGCCTCGCCTCCCCCCCCTCCCCTCCCCTCGCTTCGCCTCCCCTCGCCTCGCCTCGCCTCGCCTCGTCTCGCCTCCCCTCACCTCCCCTCCCCTCCCCTTCCCTCCCCCTCCCCTCGCTTCCCTCCCCTCCCTCCCCTCGCCTCGTCTCGCCTCCCCTCGCCTCGCCTCGCCCCCCCCCCCCCTTGCCTCCCCTCCCCTCCCCTCCCCCCCCCCCCTCCCCTTCCCTCCCCTCGCCTCGCCTACACCCCCTCCCCTCCCCTCGTCTCCCCTTCACTCCCCTCGTCTCCCCTTCCCTCCCCTCGCCTCCCCTCGCCTCCCCTCGCCTCCCCTCGCCTCCCCTCGCCTCCCCTCGCCTCCCCTCGCCTCCCCTCACCTCCCCTCGCCTCCCCTCGCCTCCCCTCGCCTCCCCTCGCCTCGCCTCGTCTCGCCTCGTCTCGCCTCGCCACACGCCGTCTGGATTTGCGCTGGTTGCGCTGCGCTCGGGGGAAGGGGGGGGTGGGGGGGGGGGGGGGGGGGCACTGCAGTGCGCGCGCTGGAGACGCTGAACGCGGCGTGGCAGCTGTGGCCGTCCAACTCCAACCGCTCACGGCGCTGCGACCAGTGGGAGTACATCCAGTGCAACGCGCAGGGCTTCATAGTTGCAGTGTACGTTGCTCTGTTCCCTGCTCTGGTGTGGTGTGATGTGTGGAACAGCAAGTGAGCTCGTGAGGAAGGAAAATTGTGTGGGTTCATGCAAGCACTTGGGGGCAGTGTGAACGCTGCTTCTAAGTCGTTATTCCCGAAGAGAAAGGGGAAGTTCAAGAGATAAGTGTAGCTTGTGTGAGTGACTGCGTGCGTGCGTGCGTGCGTGCTTGCTTGCATGTGTGCGTGCGTGCGTGCGCACGTGTGTGTGTGTGTGAGCCCTTGCACGTGCATGCTCGCAAGTCTGACTTTCTTGAATGCAACACCTGGTTCTGTTCTGTTCTGTGCAGCGCTCCGCCTTTCATCGAGAACAATGTGACCATGCCTCTCAACGTCTTCTCCGCCATGCCTTACCTTAGACGCCTGTGAGTCTGTCGCCTCCATACCTCCGTCCCCCCTCTTCCCCCTGCTCCTTGCCCCACCCATCCACACACCTTCGCGTTATATGTCTCTCATCCATTCCCCCAACGCTCCTTCACTGTTGCTCTGTATCTCCCAAGCTACACACTAGTTGGCGTTATCTCGGATTCATTCTATAAGTTGCTTGGAATGCTTCGCTGTTAATACCCCTGTCTGTCTTCGACCGTTTGCTTACCAACCCGTTGGTTGTTCCTTCCTGCTCCGCTCCTTCTTTTGTCTCTGCATGACGATGATCCATCATCGTGCCTCCCAAGCCCCATCCCAACGCTAGTATACCGTTACCTCCCTTCACACACCCCTCTGTCTTCTTCCCTCCTCTGCTCCCCTCCCCAACCCCCCACGCCCCAGTCCCTCACCTCACCCACCCACCACTCCCTCATCCCCCCCCAACCCCCATCCCCGCCTCCCCTTCCTCTTCTCCGCCCCTGCTGCCCCTTCCCCCCCACGCCAGTGTGCTATCAGAAGTCTACAAAATCCAAGGGCCCATTTCTGATCTCCCTCTGCCCCCCTCCCTGCGCGTGCTGTGAGTGCTACTCTGCTACCAGGGCCTGCCTCTCGCCTCTGCAATGTCTCCTTGCGTCCCCCCATGTTTACGGATTCCGTTGCACTGATAAGGCTACAGACGAAGGGAGGACGACAGATGGATTTGTTGGGAATGGAGAGCGAGGCGAGGCAGTTAGCCGACGGAAGTACAACACATAAGTACTGCTGCTGCCTTCAGCGATGTAATGTAATGCTGCATGTGCGTGATTGCTTGTGATTTGCACGGCACAACAAGGTTCCCTGCTGTTGCATTGCTTGCATGCGATCGAAGTCACACAGCCTGAGCTTTCTCTCCTCCTTTTCACTCCCACCACCCACCCATCCCTGTTCCGTGCTTCTCCCCCCTGTGACTGTTTGGGACAGGGACCTACTTGGGACTGGAGTGTCTGGTTCCCTGCCATCCTCCATTCTCTCGCTCTCAGCTCTCGCATACCTGTGAGTGCAATCCCACACACACGGCTGAGAGGAGAGCAACACATGCTGTTCTCGTCGCGCTCGCGCCCCTCGAACCCGGGACTCACCTTTTTGGAAACTCACATTCATGGCGCCCGCCCGTCGTCTCGTCGCCCCACCTTCATTCACATTCACATTCACACAACCCGAGCATTTGTGAGAGGCTACCATGGCAGGTATATATCATAATGTGCCCGCAAGCAAAGCATCCCAAACGCAACGACACGTACAGCGTGGTCGGGTATTTGTCCGTTCGTATTCACGCCCGCTCTGCCTCCTCAATTCACCTTCATTCCTCTCCTGCTGCTCTTCTTCCGTCCCCAACCCCGTTTTCCCCAACCCCACAACCCAACCAACGCTTGACCAGAGACATTGGGTATACTTCTCTCTCTGGGAGCCTGCCTTCCTCTCTCACCCGCCTCTCTCGCCTCACATACCTGTCAGTTTCGCTTCACCTTCTTCCTGGGTGGTGTCTGTTGTGGTTGTTTGTTTCTTCTTCACCCGTTTCTCTTCCCATCTTCGCGTGTTCGTGCTTGGTTGCGTTGCATTGCATGCCCCCCTTTCATAATTTCCTTCTCTCTGCCATCTTCTCTCTGCCATCTTCTCTCTGCCAGCCAGCAGGCAGTCGGGTAGTTGGCTTGAGCAGACCTGTACTTCCACTCGAACCAACCAAGCAGCACCTTATCTATTCCTTACACTCCTTGTCCGACAAGCTTGTTCCGTTTCGCCTGTCCTCATGTTCTTCTTCACCCGCTTCCTCGTACTTTCCCTTCAATGTCCTCCTTTTTTTCTCGCCCCTCTCTCCCTCCCTCCCCCTCTTCCCCCCCCCATGCTCCTCGTTCTGGACTTTCAGAAATAGCAACATCTCTCCCCTCTCCTTCTATCTACCCTTCCCTCCCACATACACACTCCTCCCCTCCCTCCCTGGTCCCTCTCTTTTCCTCTCAGCAACATCGGGGCAATGAGCATCATCGGGCGATTGCAGGACCTCTCGTGGCTATCAAGTCTCACCAACCTGCGCTCTCTGTATGCCGCCCTGCACTCTCTTTGTTATGGCTAGCATGACAAGCATGTGACTGGTGCACACGTAGGGGATCCACATTCACGGATACCAAAGTCTGACACAATTGAAATAGCATGCCTGCATTTTGTAAGTGCTGCCAAT